ATCTTGCCCTACCTATAGAGCACCAAATGTGCATTTCTCTCATTGGTTCACTGTTTACTTTTCTAACAAAATTGTGGTTTACATTACAGGCCGACTCTCTGGCAGTCCTCCTAGACGATGTCCTAATGGAGCCTGACAACAGTGTAAAGGAAGCTTCAGATTTGTGTTCCCAAGAATCGCCGCCAAAAGAGCACATTCTGGAATATCTTGCAGGCTACGTGGTAAAAAAGTTTTCTTCTCTGAAATGCTCCAGCTGTGTCGCAACGCTAAAGTCTGAACGAGTGCCAGCTGGCCTAATACTTGCAAGATCCAAAGGTCATCTTCAAGTGCCCTCTAACCAGCTGCTTACGCTCCTGAAAATTGTGGAACATCACCTGGAACTCTTCACAATTGAAAAAGTAGGCATGTGCCAATGCATATATGAGCATTCTTGAGGGCGTTTTGCTGGACGGCCACATGGCTTCGGCAGCACTTGGTTGCACACTACATTTCATTAGCATCACTGCTGAGATCATTCATTTTTTTCTTAGGACTCGCCTGCATTTCTTTACTAGAGAAAAAAATGAGCGCACGCGAGCATCAGTGTGAACAACCTGTCCAGCAAGTTGGGGCAAAAAAAATCTGCTTGTACGAAGCAGCAGGCATATGTCGGCCCTGCACTGCCTACATAACTTGTTTTTGCTTGAATATTGCAAATAAAATCACCCCCAAGCACAAACAAAAAAACTCGGTTTTGCTGTTTGAGCAATAAAATATTTTCTTCCTGTAACCTTGACTGCATTCTCTGTGTGTCAGTATTTATAGACAGTAAATTATAACTTAGCTTAGTAAATTATAACTTAGACAGTAAATAACCACTTAGCTTCAGTTCGTGCATATGCATCTTGTATGCTGACATCAAAAGCTATCAACAATTTTAACATTTTCTTAAGTTTGCTACTGCAGCTCTGTGCATGCTTGCAAAAACGGCCATCCCACCGAAGTGACTTCGTTTCCCAAACAAAGTAGGCTTCCAGCCGTGATAAATGAGCCATTCGTAACTTATGGCAACAGAAAAAAAAAAAACAAGGTATAAGACTTCTGTGTCAATACTCCTTTACCATTGCTATTGTGCTTTACACTACGCCAGTGCTGAGCGAAGGCGAAAATTAGATGTTAATTCTCAAGCATCTGCACAGCCTCATTTACTTCAAAAATAAATAAATCAATAAATAAGCTCGTGATTACAATCCTATTATGCGTCTTCATTCACCATGAAATATGGCACTGTATGCAATCCACGCACAATCCTCTTCACCCTGCTCGAGCGAGTTAGAAAGAAAAATACTTTGTTTCTTCTTTAACATTACATCAAGGTGGCAAGAGCAAAATGCGCCGCAGCCTGACAGAGGCTCCTGCTCCGAATGAGTTAGAGATAAAAAAGCGCACTGCTGAGACAGGGGGCATTAATATGCCCCTGTGTCACTCTGATTCACGAGGTTTTCATCGGGGACATTAGAGAAAAAAATTGCGTGAGAAAACTTTGTCGCACACTTGGACTGAACGCACGAAAGTTAGCAAAGCTTGCAAGGCCTGAATACGACAATAGTTGCCGTCAAGCAAGCGTTTCATTGAGGGCTACAAGTCGTCAACCTACCTGTTTCAAACGGCGTGCCGTCAAGTGCAAGCTCACGTCCTAGAAAAGCTTATGTTAAGTAAAATTAGAGCCCGTCACCACTGCTGCAACGACTCGCGTGCAGTCAAAGTTCCGAAAATAACAGTGCACGACACTGAGCTCAGGTTTCATTTACTGACAGCGCTGCTGATGTCTTATCCTCTCAGTCTTATCCTCATCACAGTCGTGTCAAATATTTTTATTCGAGGCCTGTTGGGCCAACAAAACACAGAATTCGCAGTAGAAATAGGTCCGTGCGCGTCCTCTGCTGGCACACTAAGCCGCCAGGTGAGTGTGATTGTTTACTTTTCTGTATGCGTCTTGTCTTTGGTAAGCAAACATTCTCAGTAGTTCAAGTTTAGTTAGTAGGTTAGTATAATTCAGCGAGAAAATATAATGTAAATAATGTCTAGAAGGAGCCAGACTTTCGGCCGCGACGTACCCGAGAACAAAAAAAAAAAGCAAGCGTAGCCTGCGGCGGCCGCTCGGCGAGATGGTTTTTCTTTGACTGTAGCGCCCCTAGCGGCCGGCGGTAGCTCTATATTAAACTGAGGTGGCAGTTTCATGACCAGAAAAACGTATTGAAGGACTATGGTATCGGGAACAAAGCCACTGCCATAGCATTTTCAGGATCGGGGCGAACAGCATTGCTGCTGACAATATGGCCAAGGAATTTGAGATCCTCATATTTAAAATAACACTTTTCCAGTTTCAGAGAAGGACTGGTGGTACAAATAGCCAGAAGAACTACTTAAGGCCACTCAATGTGCTGTTCAAAGGTCGTAGAAAAAACGATTACTTCGTCTAAGTACACTAAACACCAGTGCCACTTGATACCACACAAAACTGTATCCATCATTCGTTGGAATGTGGCTGGAGCGGAGCGCAGTCCAAAAGGGAGAACTTTCAATTGATAGAGATTTTCAGGTGTCATAAACACTTTTTTTTCTCAGTCCCATTCATCTACTTCAATCTACCAATACTCACTACAGAGGATCCATGGACGAGAAGTAACGGGCGTGGCACAGGCAATCTGAGGAGTCATCGATGATAGGAAGGGGATACATGTCTTTTTTTTGTTATCTTGTTCAGTTTGTGATATTCTACACAGAATCGTAATGAACCATTTTTCTTTTAACCAACACAACTGATGATGCCCAAGGACTTGTCAATGGTTGCGTTGCGCCATTGTCTAGTATTTGTTTTCCTTGATGACGGATGGCATCATGTTATTTCTGCCGACAAGCTGTAAGGGTGTTGGCGCACAGGTTGGACGTTGGGCTCAGTGATGATTCTGTACTTCATCAGTGGTGTCTGTCGGACATTCGAAGTTGTGGCAAAATAGTCCCTAAAGATGACAAAAGACTGAGGAGCTTTGGCCCCTTAGGTTGTTCTAACTCGCGATCCACGTTGAGGTGACTAGTCCCATTAGTATCACAGCTGTTCTCATTCGAGATTATCGTAACAAAAAAAAAAAAAAAAAAGGCGTCCAAATCATCCAATGCCTCCAAGTAAGCTACAGTGGTGCATTGCGCTAAATGCCTGCGTTAGCCACCGAAGTTCGTAACTTAAAGCGTAGTCTGGCCATTTAGGAGATGAATGGCACTTCGAGCGATGGCGACTTCCTGATCAAGCAATAACGTGAGGTTACCTTCGGCGATGTCCGTTATTGACTGTCCCTGCGAAAACTCAGCAAGGACGAAGATACTTCTGCGAGGCGGCAAAGTGATGCAATCATCAACTATGTGTAAGGCCACGTCACAATGTTTGTTCTCGATGTCTGAATTTGGAGAAACACAGTTAGCGAAAAGTGACGAACAAATCACGCAGATTGATTATCGCTCCACACTCTTGAATAAAAGCCATGCCAAAAATGACCGACCAAGAACAGTTCGGCAGTACCAGAAACAATGTCGCAAAAGGCAACGCACAATTCTCAAGCCTGGTGGTGCCTTCCTATATCTGATACAAGGTGTCCCCCAGTGGTGGTTATAGTTGGTGGCAGAAGAAAGTGCAGAAGTGAGTGTCTGCTACGATGAATATCAGCAGACCTTAGCGCACTGGCGTTGGTTCCTTCTGGTTCAGGACCAGCAGGCATAAGACAGCAGTACCCAGCACTTCCACCAGTCTGTCGTGAGAGGAAATGAACAGAAACTCGCAGCAAATGCCTGTTTACTCGGTCATAGCAACCACTCACTTCTACACTTTCTTCTTCTGCCACCAACATAGCGTGGCAATATAACGAACTCAGATAAAGAAACATAGGCTATAACGTAGTACATGAAAAGTGATATTGCAAATAGATATAGTGTTAGAAATATGCCTTCCTAAGAAATTTTTGAACATGACGAACTTATTTTCGTGTAAGACGTAAATTTGTTACAGCAAAGTTTGAATGTAGCACAAGCTTTAAATCCTGCCTTCCAAGGAGCTCATGACTTCAGACGTGCAAAAAAAATACTAACAAAATGTTCTGGGCAATGAGTATGGCTGTGACGGTTGGTTGCTGCTAACACAATATACACAGCTTCAAGTTCAACAGCGAATGAGCAAACCAATATCGTGCAATTGTTCTTTTCATCTATTTATTTACCATGTACAACTAAATAAATGCAGCCGATTTGTGTAAATGAGTGATTGCTAGCTGCCATTATTGCTTTAAAATCTGCCAATGGCAAGCCAGATCTGTTCACTCTTATTCACAGATGACCAGCCTGAATGCATTTGATGTACCCTAGCACTACCAAAAACAGCAGTTGGTTGCTGTGAATATGAATGAAGCTCAAGTTTTAATTACTTAGCGAAGCCGATTTCAGAAATGAAATAACGGCGTCAGGGCGAGAGAAATGCACGTACACACTGTTTGGAGCGGTTGCCGAGAATCGAATTGTACTTGACAACTATAACTGGAGTCGGAGTCAGAAAGTTATGTCAGATGGTCAATAAACATTTAATGAATTGCTATGCTACAAGTAATTTGCTACACTTTCGCTATTTAAAAAATGTAGTGATGATGAATTGAGTGGTTAGGCAAGGGAATGCTATTCACTCTAACCCCGACATAACGAGTCTGGATATAATTAAATATCGGCTATAAGGAAGTCAATGAACGAAATATCAGTTATGACGAAGTCTTGTAACAGACACAGTGCAGGGAATGTACCTTTATAACGAATTTTCGGATATAACAAACTTATTTTCGTGTAAGATGCAACTTTGTTAAAATGAGGTTTCAGTGTACATGTAATGATTTATTTTATCTTCACAATGATTGTTGCATTCGAAGTTAGAACATGAAATTATTACTAATAGGCAAAAAGGCAGATGATCTGCAATGAAGCCGCACCTTCATGAACTTGAGGGCCACCAGGAATGCGTCCATGGAAATCTGGTGTGTCTTCAGTAGGAGGTAGCTGTGTGTGAAGAAACCCAGCAATGAAGGCCCAAACTTCCCTTTCTTACATCTTGAAGGCAGGCCACAAAGCCCAAAATGGCCGAACATGTTCGAAGAAAGAACTCATGGCCAAGAGGTGCACCCACTTGACTTCTTGTTTCTATGTAATGCTTCCCCTCCTTGAGCAGCTTCCAATGTGCTCACCAGGATAAAAGGAGAGAAAAAGCGCACTAAAGCATGTTGCAAATTCCCGTAACTTAACCTATACGTAACGAATGCAAAATATTTGAGTGCCAAGCGGTTTGAGAGACCACAAACTCTGTTAGTGAGGTCATTAAACTATTCCTTGAAACAGTGTTGAAGGGAAAGGGTTCCTGCTCATATGCAGCACATATTTCACACAAGATTACGTCCCCTGAATTGTTGAAGGATGGCTATTCAATCTAGTATTCGGTTATATTCTATATCCCTGTAGCCCTTTCTGATGTCAGTATTGACCCTGTTGCTATCAAGTGATCTCTTTTAGCAAGCAGTAGGTCTCTTGAAAACTTCTGTGGAATAATATTCGGAGCTGCACGCACTAAAACAACAATGTGATTAGGAGACAGCCCATATCAGAGAGCTTCAAAAGTTTCCACTATCTGCTCTTCCTTAACGTGCACTGACATCGCACAAACAATTATACGAGTCTCTAGCAAGTCGCCTCAATTGAAATGCCGCTGCTATGGCTGGTATTGAACCATGACTTTTGGGTCGCCAGCCGAGTGATGCTGTAATTGCTGCACCACAGAGGCGGATGACACAAAAGTTATGAGTTTGTCAATCCCCATGTCCACCTGTGTCAGCCATAGCTCCAATGGCGATATGTCATACTCAATAGGGGGCTATTTCGAAGTAACTACCGTAGAATCTCGATAATTCGAACTCGAAGGGGCCCGAAAATTTCTTCAAATTAAAAAAAGTTCGAATAAATGAAAGCTAAATAAACAGAGGGCTCTCCGTGTAGTGGCGCATGTGCATTGAGCTAACACACGAGGGGGATGTTTAGGAAAACTTACATTCATTCACAATTCACAGGACATCCGTTATTATTTGAAGTAATCGGTGGTGCACGCCTGCACACGTTTGCCTTGCAGCGAGTCAACCAATTTCGCACGCAGCTTGCAAAGCATTTCTACTTCGCCTTCAGCATTCTCCTGGCAAGATAAGTTGCGCGCGAAAAATATCCAGCACCAACACTTTCTAAAGACGACGACAACAACTGCTGCCTAGCTGAGCCTCCCGCTCTCCGCAGCCGCAGCATGGCCAGCACGCGACGAGAAAGGAGAAGCGTCTCTACGCGGAGAGAAGCAGATCTGCATGTGGAAAAAAAAAAATCATGGCAGATGTTTTTTTTTGCTCTCTTCGCGCACGTCATTGAAAGGAGAAGGGTTTCATGGCAGGGAAGGGACCCCCCCCCCCCCTCCCTCAAGGCGCAGAGTCGTGCTCCCGCAAGGGGCTAGGGCTGCAAAACATAGCGCCTTTTTCCTTTCCTTCAACCACACATTCATTCAGCCCAGCCACGGCTTTCTTTTTTTTCCCTCTCTCTATTTGCGCATGGCATTGGAAGGAGGAGGGGCTTTACGTAGCAGGGACAGAAAAGGGAGAAGCATGACACGGATGCGCAAATCGGCATTTGAGAAAGAGCAAACATTCTACCACAGCCTTTTCTTTCCTTTTCATTTCCTTCACGAGCAGCGTTGAGGTGTCGCAAGTGCCGCCGCAGGATTGGGCGGGGTGCTGAGAGCATTTTCGGAGCGCAGTATGTTCGAATTAACCGTCAAAAGTGCTTGGGTGTTCGACTTACCGGGCGTTTTCACTCATTAGAATACACATAGCTTTGACGGGACCTCATCGTGAGTTCGAATTAACCGAAAGTTCGAATTAAGCGTGTTCAAAATAATGAGATTCGTCTGTACCTACTTGAAAACCTTGTGCACTTGACATGTGTGGCAGCATCAAGCCTCAACATAGGATGTATTGTGATCGCGTTTCGATTAACTGAGGCATGAAATGATAATATGTCTTTTCGCAAGAAAAGTGAAAGGGACGTACACTTTCTTGAACAGGTTGCGGTAAGTGATGATTTTAAGCCGCTCCAGGATGAGGTATATGCCGTTCTTAATGAAGAAGTCCTCATTGGCTTCCAGTGCTTTGTCAAAGCGCATCAGGTTGCCCTCCCTGTCAAGTAAGTGAGAGGCATAATAGTAGGTCAGAATTAGCCTCACCGAAACACCTCCTGAATCTTTCACACTTGGCATCCCACTGAATCACTGGACACCACAGCAGATGTGCCTGTAGGAACTACGTTCTTATGAAACAATCACCCTGGCACAGCTTGGTTAACTACTTGAAAGTACAGCCAGCAGACGGTCAGTAAAGGGAAATCATGTTAAACTGAACTGCTGCTTAACTGGAACATTTGCATCCAGCACAATGAATTTCATACTTGCAGTCTCCACCCTAATTCGTTCCTCGGTAGGATGGTACTCCTCTTAAACAGAACACATTTTCCTGTTCCCTTCAGGTGCTGTTTAATGAGAGTCTATTGTGGAATGAAGTCACAAAGACATGTTAAAAAAAAACATTCAGCAACTGCAGTGTAAAAAGCAAACAACAATAACTCTGCCACTCTGCCACCAGATTGGCATTCACAAACTGAGTCTTTATGATGGTTTGTCTCCTTTCTATTATAGTATTCACTTCTACTCTTCACTTTACCTTTTGCTGCACAAATGAAAGTGTAATGAAAATTTTGTGTACGTGCATCATAATGAAACTATAAAAGGGATAACCGACAAACTTTTCCAAACTAAAAGCCATTTTAGCTGTAACAAAGTCCATGCAGCTTTTACAGAACGGAAACCTAGATTAAAAAGAATTGGTCCAAGCCGAGGATGCTGCCAGAGCTCAAGGACTCATGGCTGCCACCTAGGGGAAGGAGACAATTCTTCCACATCTTGCCTGCTTTTTTTAAAATAAAGTTATTTCCTCCTCCTCCTTGCTCGGGGATCGAATCCAAGAGCAACACCTTTGTGGGGCTCTACCGAAGGAGCACACCAGGATGGCAGCAAGTGTCAGAGCAAGGGCAGATTAGTCAACAACTCTAACAACTTTTGCCCAAATCACCATTTTGGGTGCTTCATGCTAAACTCGGTATTGCCACTACACTCAATATCAACATCACTTCCACTCAATGTCACCATTAAACACATTGGCCTTGAAAGACTCCACCTTATGCTGTTACGCCCCTAATTATTGAGCAGATCTAAAATATGAGGGCCCAAAAAGTCGGTCAGCTATCGCAAGGCTTTCTTGATGACGCCAGGACAAAAAAAAAAAAGAAAAAAGGAAGCAGGAGACACTGCGAACGAGCAGCATCACTCACGTGACAGCAGACACCACCTCCGCAAATTGCATCAGGTCATACTTCCGTAGTAGGGCCTCACTTGGCATGTGACCCTGAATGTAGAAGAATTGGAACATACTACATTGTATTTACATAGCTACACAAGGCAAGACAGCCACAGTGATGCTCATAAAAGCTAAGCATTTTGGACAGGAGGGTGCATGCAACACGACCTGCCCATTCTGAGCCAGGCCAGCTTGCAACCATGATACACTCAGGCCTCATCATAGCAAAGTTGGATCTTACACAAAAATAAGTTCATTATATCCAGAAATTCTTTACAAAGGTATATTCCTAGCACTATCTACTAAAAGACTATATTTCATTTGCTTCGTTATAACCAAGATTTCGTTAGTACCCTGGTTCATTGTCTCAAGGTTGGGGCGCATTTCAGCTGGCCCCATTACAAAAGGTTATCACAGGTTTGCTATATTAAAGCATAGAGTCAAGACAAAGCAATGCGTTAGCTTTCCCAATTATCCAAAATTTCAGAATTGCCACCATTGTGGCCATTACCAATGAAGGCATGACAAACACAAGAGAAAATTATCATTCATTAGCGAAAACGTGAAACCGACTCCTACGAAGCAAAGCTACACTGACGGCCGAAATTGCAGACAATGGATGAAAACAAAAAATCAACTAGCACTTCAACATGAGTAAAAGTGCATCTTCGACTATGTCCCTGCAAGGAAGCTGTTCAATGGGCGTGTGCAAATCGTAAATTCGAGGTTCAAAGCAAACAGTGATTTGGTTGAATAACTTAAATGAGAATACTTCAAATAGTGGTACTATTGCATATCACATATTATAAAGAAAAATGACCATTTTCATCATAACCCAACAAATTTTATTGCACAATAATTTTAAGAATTTAAACTAAACCAGTGTAAATATATTTGCACTTTTGGTGAGAAGTGAAGTCTAAGTACATTAGAACAGTACATTAGAACAGGATTTGAGTAGCACTGAATGGGTGCAAGTTAGAAGTGACGATTCAACACACTTCAAAATTTCCCATACTTATATCAAATAATCTTGCACGACACTATCTTAATGTTCAATGATAAACTAATCAGGAATAATTAATATACACACTGTGATTTTGTTGCAAAAGGAAATTCCTCTGAATATGTAACCTCACAGCACAATGGCCCCATCTTATAGTGAAATTACATCTTTACAGGCAGGTTACATGCAGTAAAATATGCCTATTCATTTGCTTCAAATACATCAAAATCGTGGAAGTTTTAAATCCATGTTAAAGTAAATTAGGGTACTATTTCTATAAGCTTGGTGTCCAGTTATTTTCATTTTATTGCTGCGACAAGTGCATTGAAAACCATGACCGTAAAAATCACCTATGCAAATGAATGAAAGGTTTCTCGGGGGCAGGTTGAAACATTTTTTTTTTTCAAACTTTTGCAACAATAAATTGATGATGAAGGAGGATTTCATGTATGAAAGCGTAGTCTAGCAACAGTGCCTACGAATTGAAAAGGACGACAGTGACAGACAAAACATCAGAAACACTCACCAGGAGCATCTTGACAGGAATGAGGTATATAGGATGAGTCGCTTGTTGTGCACAGAGTCCTTGTCACATCGTAGAAAGGCGTATGTCAGGTACTCCTCAGCTGCGACAAGAAAAGAAGCAACAGCACATGATACGTATAGAGTACAGCAATGCTTTGTGAAGTTGTTCGAGGATTAACCTATGATTCAATGAAAAGTTTTTCCAGACACTGCTAAAACTTGTCTAGCTGCACAGCATTTTAATTTATTTAGGAAAGTTCATTTCGTCTTTCACAAGCCATAGCGAGTTCCTTTGAGGTGTGGAGCTTGGCTCTTGTATGGGCAGATTCTGCAGCTGACCAAAAGCCGCTAAAACGGTGTAGTGCACACGTATCTTGAAGCAGTACGGCCACTAGCGTGGGTCCAGTCTTAGCGAGCCGCAGGGCACGCGTTAACCATCGTCGTGGCGAGAACACGGTACTGCTCAAGGTCACAACACTTTATTGTCTGCGGCAACACAAAAAATGCAGTACAGAGCCCAGTTGCAAAGACGCGGCGGGAAAGCAAATGGGCTTATTCATGCCACGGGCAAGAAGCACTACACAAGGGTGCCACGAGCACGTCTCCGTGGCAAAAGTGATTCGCGGAGACACCGGGTCAAGGGCCCGGTCGCTCGCGCGAGGGCAAAGGCGCTCGCGTTGGCTTCGAAGAGATATGTGTCAGTGCAGTTTGACCACACATTAGGACATTGCACCGCTCTTCGACCTAGTGTTCACAAGGGGCAACAAAAAATGAGCGTTCACCGCGGGCGCCGTTGGCGAAGCCTGACGAGCCCCAAACAATGGGAGTCAACGGACGGAAAAGAGAATGCGTGCTCGCCTACAGCTGTCCCAGAGATATCTCTCTCACTCCCGACGCGCACGCAAAAAACATCCCAAGAGACCTTATGCGCGGCGCCACAGTCGACATCCGCTACCAGGTGAAAGGGGTTAAAGGTCACTCCCCGCTCTCTCAGCACGGCAGACTATGGAGGAGGGGAGTCATGTCGGGATATGAGAACGACAGAAAGAGGCCGCAAAGACCACGCAAAGGCGGCAGGCTAGCCTCAATTCCTACAACGGTTACAAGTTTTCTGCGAGACAGTCACGGTAAAGCACTGTTCTAACAAAATAACTCCCTTTTGATATTTTGGAACCTTGCAAGTTAACTTTCATAAAGAATAGCAATCACTTTTTAGAAAAACTTAAACAATGAAGTTTATTAGGTAGCTGGCTATGGGTTATTCACTGATCGATTTCAACCACCTGTCTAAAGGAAGGTACACACGCATTTTAACATTATGCCTCTGTCAGAATGTGGCTGCCACTGACAAATATTGCACCTGGCACCTCTCCCTGTGACAGACCAAAATGCTGGGCAACATTCTGCTATTCCACAGAAAATAATTACAAAGAATGCACCTAGTAGAGCAGGTTCAATGTCCATCTCATTTACAGCCTAAAAAATACTAAATAAGAGAGCGAAAAAAAAGAAAGGCTTGAATCGGGGGTGTTGGGAGATGAACTCACCATTCTTGAAGTCACTGTCAAACATAGCTTTCTGCCCAACGTAGTACCTGAAATACGAGTGAGTATTCATGTACTATATTCTAAACTAAATAAAGTACATGTGGTGTAACTTAACAACGGTACATTGGTGGCATTGTTTTGAGGCCCCAGAGTCTATAATGCCATGTATAGCTAAGCTACAAGTCTGGTTATATAGGTAAATATGGAGTTTTTGAATAGGGGGTGCCCACTGTTTTGGGCCGCAAGGAAATACCATTGAGACCTGCTGTGCATGCGCGACAAAGAAACAGAGTTTGGGTTTTACTTTGGACGCTATTTCTAGAATTTAGTGAGAGCCCCAAAGCCTGCACCGAAACCTCAGCGTCAAGCAAATGTGATGGCATTCACTGAAAAGACTGCCATCGGCCAAGACTAGGACGACATAGAATAGAGGGAGTGTTAAAAATGCCACAGACCCTATGAGCGCTTGCTGCACTTAGCGCTTGCTTCACTCGAACCGAGCATGGCATGTGTGCGGGGCTTTGGGGCCCCATATTTACAGAGCACTCACTCGAAAACTTTCTAATATGTTTACATGTATAGCAAATAAGAGCCTAGCAAAAAAAAAAAAAAAAAAAAAACACTGAGGCATTTCAACTGAGAGTGACAGTTTCTAACAAATGGATATTTAGTCAAGGACATAGATTAATTTGAGCAAACGACGTAGATACTAAACAGTGAAGCACTTAGGAGCGCTTTCTCAAACCACTAAAAGATAGAAATCCATTTGTGTCACAAGATCTTGGTGACGATTTATTACAAAGCATCCTAATTGGTGCTGTGGTCATATGACTACCTCAAAGCTGTCGTGCCAGTTGCGTTGCAAGATGCTCGCTATCACTGTAGCTCTACAAATGCTTAGCCCCCTTTGAATGTGGAGCAAGTAAAACATGGCACGACAAACGAGTACTTTGGATTACTGGCTAAAGAAGCATGTTGAAGCAAGATTTAAGAGGACTGCCTCTAATTGTGCGAGGTGTACACGACGCATCATTTATTTGATGGGTCACTCCCAGTTGGGTTGAAAAGCAGAAATCTTTTTTTTTTATAGCCACTTAGAAAGCCACACTGTAACTGTTGGCAACGATTACGTAGTGTCGTCAGGTCGTCGTGTAGGGCCTTAAGTACTTCTGGCCTCACTGCTGAAGGAACCACGATAAGGTGGTTGGCTCAAAGAGGGAGGAAGCTTTTCTTTAGAAGAACTCCATTACGCAAGAAGAACGACTCCAGCCGCAAAGGATGAAGGAATCAATGTGACAGCAACAAATTGGAAGGCCACGTGCAAAATGGCAAGCAGACTTTATTGAACACAATGGGCTGGAAATTCGGTCTCGGTGGCTTCAGATGGTGGCCCAAAGCTGGTCTTTGAGCTCCTCGTAACCTCTGCCGCTTGCCTCTATTGCCTCGATGACTACCGCCTTCAGAGATAACCCGTTCCTCGCGATTCAACGATAGCATAGCATCTTTCATAACAGGCATAGATATTTGTCATTAGACTACCAAAGGATGGACTGTGAAAAACACTTGATTTGTGGTTTGTCCTGACTTTCTGTGACTGCACTGTTTTGAGCACCGTTTGATTCCCAGTTATAACAAAAGCAGAAATTTGGTATTGGCAGTATATGGTGGCATGCTGAGGGTTTCGAATGGTTTTATCATACCGAGGAGAATATTGAATATATTTATCATGTTACTGATAAGATACCTCATGAGTTCCATGTTTGTTGCTTGCTTGGGCCAGAGGAATGTATCAAAACATATGTATAGCGGAAGCTCGTGGATACAATACCGCATAACACATTTTTTGGCCTAATACCCTTTATCTTTTTGCTCATGGCCAACCTCAGTTAATGCGATTTTTCGCAGAGTACGTTTTATTTTCTTGTTCCCGCAAAAAATGCATCAATATTATTTCACTGTATAATATTCACAATCATGCAAGCAACCATGACAAATATCAGCTCTTTTTGATGTACCTGCAGTTCACAAACTAGTTCAAGTGGTGCTGCACTCGACTGTCTGCTTTAGTATTGCAAAAGCAGTGTTTTTTTAGAAAGTATAGGTACAGTTCTGCCATAGCTCTGAAGCAGCGGATGTCTGTTGCATACTGCGATACTACATAAAATTGCAGCAAGGTGCTGAATGGCATACCGACAGAAATCTTGCCATTAGTTGTCACTGACGGCATCCACACTCGCGACAAAAGGATAGTGTTTGTTACCTATGACATGCAGAAAATGTGCTTTAACTGGAGTAAAATGTAGCTTCTCAGCAACAGGTTACGTACAATACAGTTGAACTCCGCTACAACGAACGCCGCTTCAACGAAATTTGCGCTAGAACGAAAAATTCATGGTTCCCCGTCGGCAGTCCATAAAAACCAATGCATAAATATTGTTGCCACAACGACCACTTTTTCTTCTGCCGTCTTGCTTCAATAAAATTTCACGATAAAATTCCAGGCTCAGATATTTATTTCTATACAGCAAACAGAGTTTTTAACATTTTGATGCACTTTCATAACTTAAAAATATGTCGACGAAGTTTAAAATACGCGTTGGCACCACCAGCAACCTGCGCTGTTCAGCATGCATGGGCGCCACCATTGCTCGATAGCTATGGCAATGAGACTGCCCTGCTTTTGCCACTACCGGCTTGCTTTCGAGCTGCAGACGATCTTTGTGCCTCAAAAGTGCATTAAACGCAATCCAAAACATCCGTGGTACACACGGGAAATCATTCAACTAACTCGCCGTGTAAAGCGACTTCGCAAAGGTCGTCCTCTTTTGTCAGCTGCGCGATCACCACTGCTTAATTCTTTGAAGTGTACTTTGAAGGCGAAAATGCAGGAAGCGAAAAATTTCTATTTCAACAATACATTGTCACGGTTTATGGTGGAAAACCCAACCAAATTCTGGAAGTCTATTAACCTGAAGTCATCTGTTCAGTCTTGCTTCCTTATAAATGACCAATCATACTCCGATTCTAACACTATTGCAGAAAGCTTCAACAACTATTTCAAGTCCGTTTTCTCTCGTGATGATGGCACTATCCCAGATTATGCTTGCAACTTTGTTCAGTCTACAATTCCAGACATCACAATCTCTTGTTCAGATGTTCACAATTTGATACTAAAATTAGATGTGACTAAAAGTTCCGGTCCTGATGGCATTCCTAATACGTTCTTGAGGCGGTACTCCGAATGGTGCGCTCGTTACTTGACTGTCATTTTTAATAAATCGTTTGCGTCGGCCACTGTTCCCATACTTTGGAAGACAGCTAATGTTGTCCCGTTATTTAAATCTGGCAATAAGCAGCTCATTCCAAATTATAGGCCAATTTCCCTAATTTCAACAAGCTGTAAACTACTGGAACATATCATTCATAAACATATTGTTGAGTATTTGGACGCAAACAACCTTCTGTCCTGGTGTCAGCATGGCTTCCGAGCTGGATTTTCTACAACAACGCAGCTCCTAGAATTCACCTATGACATTGCCACATCACTTAACAAAAGGGGTCAGACATATGCAATTTTCATAGACTACTCGAAAGCTTTCGACAACGTATGCCATAAAAAACTTCTTCTAAAACTTAGTTCCTTTCTTAAAGATTCTAAATTACTCGGTTGGATTGCGGATTATTTGCGTTCTCGATCTCAGTTCGTTACTTTCAACCAGGTGCAGTCATCCCCTGTTGAAATCACATCCGGTGTGCCGTAAGGCTCTGTGCTAGGGCCTCTCTTGTTTATTATATTTATTAATGATGTTGTTAATGTCATCTCTGGAACCCCTGTAAACATACGTCTGTATGCCGATGATTGTGTACTGTATAACTGCATTACTACCTTTCAAGACCAGTCAGTCGTCAACAACGTATTCTCGTTATTCTGCGATTGGAGTTCAACGTGGCAAATGCCCATAAATTACAAGAAAACTGTAGCTATGACTTTCTCAAATAAAAAACAGCCTCTAAGTTTCAGTTATAACTACAATGGGTCCACCCTAGCACATGTGAGTGAATTCAAATACCTAGGCATCACCTTTACACATGACCTTAAATGGGGCAAACATGTTGATCAGATAACTTGACAAGCTCTAAGGAAACTTGGTTACTTAAAGCGAAGATTGAAAAAGTCGACAAAAGATTGTAAGTTAACTGCCTACAAGACACTAGTGAGACCGATGCTCGAGTACGCCTCTGTGGTTTGGTCGCCTCATCTTGACCAAGATAAAAACAGGTTAGAATCTGTGCAGAATAAGGCTATATGGTTCGTTTTTAACCGTTATGATCGGGACTTCTCCCCGTCTTCACATGCTCATTTGTTGTCACTTCATTCACTGGAACACCGCCGTACACGTGAGAGTATTATCTTGTTGCACAAGATTGTACACAAAATGACCCGCGTTCACGTGGCCTTATCTTTCGCTGATATACCAGCGCGTACAACACGTAGTACAGACGCTTTGAACCTTGTACCCTTCAGGTCTCGTTTGGATTGTTTCAAATTCTCTTTTTTTCCGCGTGTGGTGGAAGTTTGGAACAAGCTTGATGGTGCATTGCGTAGAATGAACACTGTAGAGTTCGGGAAAAATTTTATGTGTTAGTCACATAAATTTGTGCGCACTATTGTTTGTTTCTGTGCTTTCGTTGATTTTTCTGTACCCGCTCCTGCAATGTCCCAGGCATGAGACAGCAGTATTTGTAAATAAATAAATAAATGAATGAAGCTGAAGCTCAGTCGTTCAGTTCATGGTTTTCTTTCACGCAGCTGTGTGGAACGATGCCTTTGTTGATGCCAATGCGTATCGATTCGTTCGCCCATGGCCATTGTGGTAACTAATCAGAGCAGCTGTTCGTCCGCATTACCAAAAAAATCAGCTAGCCGCGAGTGGTGGATGATAAGAATGACATAGAATAATGCAAAAGTCACCACTCCACGATGCCCTGCCTCCATCTTGGCATTGTCGGATACACTTTGACTGCGGACAGGTGCTGGTGTTAACGT